GGGATGAAGGTTATTTGTGCCCCCAATTTAGATAGAAGGTCTCTTCCAAACAATGGTATTGGGCATTCAGGCAAATATAAAAATTCATGTGTCACTAGATGGCCCCCTACTTGACAGGATCGTGGTTGGCAGAAATGGCGGGCAGTTGAGTCCCCAGTAGGCCCAATAATAGTCTCTTTTTTCTTGGTCAGGGGGGCTACAGGTTGGGTCACCACAGAATATTCTGCTCCTGTGTCTACCATAAAAGTCATTGGTTGGCCCCCTATAAACATATTGACCTTGGACTCCCAGGGGCCTAGGGGCAGGAAGCCTGGTCTCTCCTATTCTGAGTTGACCCCAGCCAGTCTGATGTGATTACTGGCTGGTGGCTCCAGCTGATAAGTAGGCCTTTTGAGGGGTGCTCTCCTTCCATCATTTCTGTTTGGGCACTCGTTTTTCCAGTGTCCTGTCTCCCGGCAGTATGCGCACTAGTCTTGGCCCAGGGGCATCCATGGTTGGGGTTCCCTCTTCCGGGGTGGTGCAGAATTCTGGCTGAAGCTTTTTTCCTCAGGGCTGCTACAAGGAGTGTGGCTTTCTGCTTCATTCGCTGGTCTGCCTCTCACTGGGCTTCCCATTCTCGGTTTACAAAAACTTTGCTACTTCCAGCAGCTGTGTAGCATTCATCCTGGCGAATCCATCCAGTTTTAGGAGTTTCAGGTGTATATCTGGGTATGATTGGTCTACGAAGGCAGCGTTGACCATCCGCTGGTTTTCTTGGGCTTCAGGATCAAAAGGAGTGTAGACTCAGAATGCTTCACATTGTCTCTCATAGAAGTCAGTGGGGGGTCTCGTCTGGCCTCTGGGTCACCGTGGTCGTTTTAGACATGTTAGTTGGCTTCTTGGCTCCCACTCTTAGCCCTTGTAGGATGACGTCCCAGTACTCACACAGTGCTTCTCTTCCTTCTTGGGTGTTAAAGTCCCAATCTGGTCTGGTGTCAGGGGCATGTGTCATGGCCCACCCCTCAACATCCATTTTGTCCCCAGGGGCTTAGCCCTGCAGCCATTTTCGTGCTTCAGTGAGAATGCGTCTCCTCTCCTCTGTATTGAAAAGAGTCAGAAGCAGCTGGTGGACATCTTCCCAGGTGGGCCGGTGAGAATGGAAGATAGACTCTACAAGGTCAATCATAGCCTGTGGCTTTTCAGAGTATGAAGGAGTATGATGGCGCCAATTGAGAAGGTCTGTGGTGCTAAAGGGTTGGTAGTAGAGTATGGGGTGCCAGGGCTGAACAGTCCTGCCTTCCCCAACTTGCTGTGGCCCTTGTGTCTCCCGCAGTGGCATTTGGAGGGCCGGTGGTGCTGGCTTCCTGGCTTGTGCTGAGCAGAGTCTCCTTTCTACTGGCTCAGGCTGGGGGCTGGGCTCTGCCTCTGGGTCCTCAGGTTGGGGAGGTGGTGGCATAGAGGGTGGTGTTGTCTCCAGTGGGACTGGAGGTGTCTGTGCCCTGGGGGCATACGGAGGGGGTAGGCACATCTCATCTTCTGCGTCTCCCTGGAAAATAGGCTTTTTTCTGTCTGTCTTTTTGGCCTGGACCGGCTGAGCTGCTAATATCTTGCATTGTCCAGGTCTATTTGAGCAGAACCAAATCCATGGGATAGAGTCTGGGTGATATTCAGCCAGGAGTCAATGTAAGGATATTGATCTGGGTGGCCTGGGGTTCCAGTGATTATTTGATAGACTGCTCACACTGTTGCTAGGTCCAGAGTTCCTCCTGAGGGCCACCTGATTCCAAAGGCCAGCCATTAAAGCTCACACAAAGTGCGGAGCCTGCCAGGGGTCATTCGAATTCCATAGTCTCCTGAGAACCCCTTTTTGAAATTCTTAATCATGCAGTCTAGAGTGGTGGGTTTTGACTTAGAGCCTCCCATTCTTTTTAGATGTTTAAGGATAATAGATCTGTTGCTTTAGATGTTTGGGAAGGTAGACTTTATATCTTTTCCTTCTTCACTCCTCAAAACACGAGAGTTCCCAGAGAGACTGCTCTTTTGCTGGGTCTATGAGTTGTTTGAAGTCTAATTTGGTCAGGGAGACTAGGTTCCAGTCACAGCTGATGTCTCTGGAGCTCAAGGGCTCAAGCAGTTCCAGGGGCTTTCTTCATTAAATCCTCTTTATATCCTGAACTGCCGTATCAAGGGCATGGGACTGACAGCAGATGGTAAAACAAATGGACTAGAAAAGGGACCTCCAAGGCCGGATAAGCCCAGTCCTGAAGGAATTTGTCTTCTAAACTCGAGTCCTGGGGGTCTGAGGCTAGGCAAACGGGGCACTACTTGGGTCAGTTCAGTAGGGGAACAATAAGTCTCGGGTGCTCTGTGACAGAATCAGGTAGGAGACTTTTTCAAAGAAATAGCATCCTAGCCTCCGAGGGCACAGGGGCGTTGACTCATTGGCTGTCTATGTCCTTTTCTCTCCCACTGTAGCCACCATGTGCTGGTGTCACAGACAAGACAAGGGAGGGTTTTCGTTACATCCACCTGGCTGCTCCCCGCTCATGGGGACAAAGGTGCCTCTTAGCTTTGGCGGGTCAGTATAAGCTGCTGACTCCGATCGGGACCCTGAGGGACCGATACCGCCCTGAGCCATATGAGGTCACTACGGAACCACAGGTTGGGACTCACTTGAACTCTGTAGCAGAATGCCGTGGAGCTACAAACTCGAGCCTGATTGCATGCTTCACAGGCCGCTCATACACACACACACAAAGGTTAACAACAGTCCTCCTACCAAGACCAATATTCTGTTTCCTGTAGGAGGGGATCAGCCTCCTCTTCCGTCCACTGGGACAGGACCTGATTCCTCCCGGGGGATCCTACCTTGTCTGGATGGCCACCTGGTGAGTCTGTCTGTCCCTCCATGGAGTCTGGCTCTGGTTGTAGCCCAGCCACCTGGGGGGCCGAGTTGCCGTCACGAAGAACCTGGAATACCGTTGGGCGGTGCCACCTCGTTCGCTGCTGGAGTCCCATTCCCCGGTTGGCCGGAGCCACCATTCCAGTGGCTCAAGGGGCCGGCGTGGTTGTATCTTGCTGGGGCCTCCAGAAATGTTATGGAAACAACAGGCCAGCCAAGAAGCAAGTACCACTCGGAGGGTTGGAGTACTCAGATGTATTATGCCAGCGGGCACAGAGGGGCTTCTGCTGCGAAGCTCTGAGCACCTCCAAGACACGCGCATGAGGTTTTATAGGGTTAAATACAAGCTTGGGGTAGTCGGCCAATAGGCATGGAACAGCTTTAGCAACATCGTTATCACAAAAGCGGAGGCAGGGAGGCAGCAAACCAACATTCCAAAGCCAGATATATCTCTTTGAAAACCCAGCTGGGTAGCAAAAAAAACATGAACAGGGAATCAGCAAACCAACACTAATTAACTTAGATTTATGAGTTAGTCCAGCAAAACTCAGCTCAGTATTCTGATACTTAGATTTGTGAGTTATCTTGTTAGCACAGCCCGGCTTTTCCTTCACATGTTCAGTTTCTTTCCTCAGTGTCTTAGAATTTTCAGTGTGCAGGTCTTTCACAGCCTTGATTCAATTTATTCCTAGGTATTTTTTTGGATGTAATTGTAAATGGGATTTTAAAAAAGTCTCTTTCTGATGTTTCATTATTAATGTATAGAAAGACAACTGGTTTTTACGTATTGATTTTGTACCTTGTGGCTTTACTGAAGTGATTTATTAGTTCTAAAAGTTTTTTGATGGTTTGATGTGGAAAACTAGAAATCAGAAGTCACCCTGTTTGGACTCCATCCAGGTCATCCACAGTACCTAAAACACAGTGGCTCCTAATCTTCCACAGTACCTCTAAATTACCTGTGGACTCCTACAAGGGCGATGAGCATCAGCACTTTGGGTGAACTAGATCTCGTTAAGGGTGGGCCTCTGTAAGGAAATCTGATGTCTTCTCTGCTTTTTTGGCGTGGTGTTGCCATGGTTGTTTTCAAAAGTAATTTAGTTTCTAATAAAGTTTCTTATAAAGTGCCATATAAAATACTTTAAATAGCATTATATAGTACTCACATTTGCCACATGACATAAAATACTCCAGTAGGTTTTACCAAAATTGGGATATTCTCTCAAGGAACCAGCACATAAACCCCAAATGAAGAAATTTAATGGTTCCACCTTGTAATCCCACCCACAAGCCCACTTCAACCTTCACCGTTGCCCGAAGTTACGGAAATATCTTTTTCCATTCTGATCCAGTTTCCTTTTTCTGAAAGCATTATGATAATTTCCCTCATTTTCAAAACCTTAATGGATTTATAGTGCATGAGATAGTACAGCCTGGGCCTCTGACTTCTTACACTTAGAGTGTTTTCAGTGTTCATCCAACTTGTAACGTGATTCATCAGTGCTTCATTCATTTTTTTCCCATTGCGATTAAAAATGCATCACATAACATTTACTATTTAAACCATTTTAAATACACAGTACTATGGCATGAACTACATTTACATTGTTATACAAATATTCTCACCATCCGTTTCCAGAATTTACTCATTTTCCCCAAGTGACACTCTGTATCCATTAACGCTAACTCCCCTCAGCCCCTGGCAATGATATGCTTTGTCTCTCTGAGTTTGGCTTCTCTGGATACCTTGTATAAGTGGAATCATATAACATTTGTCCTTCTGTGTCTCATTTATTTCACGTAGTATAGTGACAGCAAGATTTATCCATGTTGTAGCATGTGTCATAATTCCTTAGTTGTTAAGGCTGTGTAGTGTCCCATTGTGTATATACCACATTTAGTTTACTCATTCATCTGTTGGACACTTGAGTTGCTTGCACCTTTTGCTATTGTGAGTAATGCTGTTGTGAATATGGGTGTACCCATGTCTGTTCCAGCCCCTGATTTCAGTGTTTTGAACATATACCCCAAAGTGGAATTGATGGGATCACATGTTAACCCCATGTGTAAGATTCTGAGGAATTGCCATGTTGTTTTCCACAGTGATTGCACCATTTTACTTTATTCCTTTATCTGGCAGGATCATAGGGCCATTTATGGACATACCTCATTTGTTTATCTATTCAGCCTGTGATGAATATTTCAGTTGTTTTACCTTGTCTGCCATTGTGAATATTTCTGCTATGAATGTTCATGTACAGTTTTTTTGAACACCTCTTTTTAATGCTTTGATGTCTATACCTAGGAGTGAGGTTGTTGAACCATAAGGTAACTGTATTTTAATCTTTTTGAGGAAATGACAAACTGTTGTCCATATAGTCTGTGCCATTTCCCAATTCCACAAATAATGTTTAAGAGTTTCAGTTTCTCTACAGGTTTGCCAATATTTGTTGTTTTTATTTAGTTTTTTGAGTGTAGGCATTCTAGTGTTTGAAGGGGTATGGCATTGTACTAATTTGCATTTCCATCATGACTAATGATATTGTCATGTGCTTGTTGACTGTATGTCTTGTCTGGAGAAGGGTCTATTCAAGTTCTTTTTCTGTTTTAAAAATTGGCCTGTTTGTCTTTTTGTTTGTAAGTTGTAAAAGTTCTTGGTATATTCTTGATAAAGAGCCTTTTCAGATATATAATGTGCAGATATTTTCTTTGATTTTGTGGGCTGTCTTTTCACTTTCTGGATAGTATCTTTTATGCACACAAATGTTAATTTTGAGGAAATGCAATTTATTTTTTTTCTTTCATCGCTTGTGTTTTGGTATCAGATCTAAGGAAATTGTGAAATCCAAGGTAAGATGATTTATCCCCATTTTTTTTCTTTGACAGTTTCTACAGCTGTCCTTCCCTGTGAGGTATTGGTTCCATTGCTCAAGTCCTTTATATAAAATGGTGCAGTATTTGCAAATAATCTAAGCACAACTTCATTTTTAGATCAGTTATAATACCTAATACAATGTAAATGATATGCAAATAGTTAAAAAAAGTAATGTGAAATAGTTACTGGCATGCAGCAAATTCAAGTTTTTCTGTATGTAACTTTCTCAAAAATATTTTTTCCCCTCCTATCTGAAGTTGGTTGATTCCATGGATGTGGAACTTGCAGATAAGGAGGGTTGACTGTAATATTTTTTCTTTTTAAATTTAAGCTTTTTAATCTATCTTGAGTTAGTTTTGTGTGCGGTGTGAAGTAAGGACCCAATTTTATTCCTATACACTTGGGTAGCAAGTTGCCCAGCACCATTTGTTGAAAACATTATTTTTTCCCAGTTTAATATTGCCCACTGTTGTCAAAAATCAGGTGATCCTAGATGTATGGGTTTATTTCTGGGCTCACCATTCAGTTCCATACATCTATAAGTATATATTTGTGCCAGTATCACATTGCTTTATTTACTGTTGCTTTGTGCTAAGATTTGAAATTGGGAAATATGAGCCTCCAACTTTGATTTTCTTTTTCAAGATTGCTTTGGGACTTTGGAATCCCTTGTAATTCCATATATAAGGTAGGATAGGCTTGTGTATTTCTTCCCTTAGGCCTTGGGATTTTTCACAGGAATCACATTGAATCTGTCAGTTGCATCATGTACTGTTGCCATCCTGGCCATCTTAATAAGATTAAGTGCTTCCACCACCATGGGATGTCTGCATATTTACTTAGCATTTCTTTCACCAATGCTTTATGATTTTCAGTGTACCAGTCTCGCATCCTTATTAAACCTGCTCCAAAGTATTGTATTAATGTTGAAATTATTTAAAAGGGAATTGTTTTCTTTTTCTTTTCTTT